ACACCCCCCCCTCATACTTAATATATATATATATATATACACCGAGGGCTCTATGGGGGGGGGTTATGACCCCCACCCTTCCTACGTCACTGACTTAGAGGTCCTCATATCTCAACGTGGCAGTATAATGAAAACCATGCAATCGGGGGAGACGCTTTAGGGCAGCAGTATATGGAGATTATACGAGAACGGTTCAAAGGTTTAGAAGATAGAGTCGTGTTGTTGGATCTATGGGAGATGACGATTGGAATCGAGAACGCTGATTTTCATCCACCGGCGTTTGTTAACAGGGAGATGATTAAGTTTTTATTGTCTTTTCAGTGTTTGTGATTTGCGGCTTTGTTGTAACTAGATGGAGTTGGCTGTAACTAAGGAGTGGGTTGTTACCTTGTGGTTGTAACTAACTGGGTGGGTTGTTACTTGGTGGTTGTAACTAACTGGGTGTAACTTAGTAGCTGTAACTGAGTAGTTTAAATGTAGTGGTTGCTACTGAGTGATTGTTATTGTGTGGTTGTTATTGAGTGATTTATACTGAATAGTTTTAACTAAATAGTTACATTTGAGAGTTTGTAATTAAATAATTGTGTAACCAACATTCATGCGAGCTGTGTGATTTTTTTTCATGGCTGACTAGAACAAAAATAAACTCAGGTATTTGTTTTTTAAGTACAAAAAATGTGCTTCTGTTTTCTCTAGTGATTCAAAGATCATTTGCATTTTCAGAAATCAAGGGAAGTAAATATAATTATGTAGATATTGGCTTTAACATTGGTACTTTTTTTATGATTATCTACCCTGTTTTAGCCGTGTCTGATAATACCGTGTGTCGTACTGACCCACTTGTCTTGTATGGTACTGATATACCTCACACAGACCCTCGTCTCAAAATGTACTAACTCACATCCCACACTGACCCACACTGACATCCCCACTGACCCACACTTTTCACTGACCCACGTCTCACACTGACCCACACTGACCCACACCTCACACTGACCCACACCACACACTTACCCACACCTCACACTTACCCAAACATTGACTTGCTTTTACCCATGGTTTACTACAATCAAACTTTAAAACTTCAACATAAAAACTACACTAGAATAACGTTCATCCTTAACGTTTTCACCCAACGACGTGTTGACAGCCTCACCTGCAGAGCTTGACACTATCTATCATAGCTTTAAACATGAACTGAACACGCCATTCATCGTAGCACATCAAGCAGTATACCTTTTGTTATTTCAAAATCTTTTTACAATGTAAAGATACAAGTTCAACAGACCGAAGCGTTTTAAATAGCGTATAATTTATGCGGAATGCAAGCAAAGCAAAGTTTCAAGCTCAGAAGTAGTAGGCGAATTGTAGATAGCCATGAACGAACCACTGTTCAATCGACCGCTTTACCAATTGATTGAAGAATCGACCGACTAATCCGACATAGCTTGAGAGCCCATATCCACTTTTGAATTCATGGCTTTGAGATTTAAACGTGTCTTTATTGTTGAATATTGATTACCGGCTATTATGACTTGTTACTTTCGTAGAGTTTAAATAGTGGCTTACTGATTCTCTCCCTTTCCCCCTTCCCCCTTCACCCAACAACTCCAATTATAACTTACAAGGCGATCGGCTAGAAGGGACCCCTTTTCCAGACAAGCACAAAATTTGAACAACAGGCAAACGGGAAAGCCCGTTTAGATATTACCTGTGGTAGAGAGTTGTACTGTCAAGAAAGGTCACTCGTGACGCCGGCTGTGTAAACCAGGACCGATAAATCTGAACAGCTGTAATAGAGACCCAAGATTGTTGGATGGTTTAACAATAGCTTAGACTTAAATCTAGAAATAATCATTAGAAAGTATATATATATATATATATATATATATATATATATATATATATATATATATATATATATATATATATATGGGGTGAAAATATATATATATGGGGTGAAAATTAAAATTAACGTTGTTGATACGGGCTTCTAAAGTAAATCTTGTCTACGGCTAAATGGTTTTTTCTCCTGTTCTAGGATTAGACGCTATTATCTAGAGATGTCGTTGTCTTAGAGCTTTCTTGTTTAGATTATTGAAACAGGTCACCACAAAATGGCGATCAGACCTCTCATCAAAACTCAGATTGTAAAGAAGAGGAATAAGAAATTTATTAGACACCAATCTGACAGATATGGCAAAGTCAAGGCAAACTGGCGTAAACCCGAGGGTATTGACAACAGAGTAAGGAGGAGGTTCAAGGGTCAATATAAAATGCCAAACATTGGTTATGGTACCGGGAAGAAATGCAAGCACGTCTGTCCTGATGGCTTCAACAAGTTTTTGGTTCATAATGTTAGGGAGCTGGAAGTATTGTTGATGCAAAAGCCGCACTTTCTCTGCTGAAATTGCACACAGTGTTCAAGTAAGAAGCGTAAAGATATTGTTGAGCGTGCCCAGCAACTAGCTATTAAAGTGACAAATCCAAATGCCCGTCTTCGCTCTAAGGAGGATGAATAAACCGGCAGCTTGGTTAAATTAATAAACAAAAAATATTTAAAAAGTTTTCTTAGAGCTGACCTGTCTACAGCTAAATTATGTTTACCCAGGCGCCAGGATTCAACCCTAAACAATAAAACCATAAAACTTTAGACACTTTAATCTGCTCCTATAAATAGCATTTCTGACGACTAGGCATAACGTGATAGGGACTTTTGAAACTTTTAAACATAGGTTGGTGTTGAATAATTAAACGTTGATATTTTTATTTGTATTTGGTTTTATTCTCCAAATTTTAATTTTCTGTTATTTCATTACTTTTTATTCAACCTGTTTTATTGTCTGTGTGTCTAAATTTACTATGGCTTAATAGTTTGTATAACTTGTATAATGATTTTTTTTCATCAAATTTAATACCGTGTTCTTTATGTTTATATAGTTTTATTTTCTTATTCCTTATTTTTCCGTATTTTCATTACTCTGAATTGAATTCTTCTTCTTCTTCTTCTTCTTCGTTCTTAATTTTTGAGTTGGAAGGGATTGAGCCTTATCTGCCAGAGGGTTTGAATTCGAGTTAAATGGATAAACAATAGGTGTGTGTCAGAGTTTACTAAAGTTAAATCGCTGAATAAATTATTTTTTCTCCTTTATGTCAAGTTTATTCTACGTTAAATCGATTGACCTAAATAATCTTGGCTTAACAAAAAGCTAGACGGTAGATTAACTTTAATGACGTTCGTACTCTGTAATAAAGAGATCTTTTATTAAATAAAGCAGAAGGAACTTTGAATAGATTTTACGATATAAATATTGTAATTACGCTTCCTTGTTAACAAATGTAAAGATTCAATACATCAATAGCGACTGTGTATGTTGGGTAGAGAAAACAATGTTCCACGGGCGATATTCGCTTCGTATAAGTCAGGGGTCTCCAAACTTTTCAGTCCGAGGGCCGCATTAACTATCAAATTTCAGTTCGGGGGCCAGTTTCTTCCAGGCATGTATTTGATTTTTCTGGGCAAAGTTCCTTAGCCATCACCAACAAACGATTTTTCCTTGGACAAAAAGATCTCAGCGGGCCGGATGAGAGGACTTCGCGGGCCGCATTCGGCCCGCGGGCCGTAGTTTGGAGACCCCTGGTATAAGTGGATAAAGATAACATACGTGTACGTGAGTTGTGTACGTGGGTTGGGTTATGTTTGGTTAGGTTTGCCTGTCGTCCATACTGGGACATAGGCCGCTATGGGTTGTGTACGTGGGTTTTGTGCGTGTGTTGGGTTGTGTTGGGTTGTGGGTTGGGTTGTGTATGTGGGTTGTGTATGTGGGTTTTGTACGTGGGTTTTGTACGTGTGTTGGGTTGTGGGTTGGG